TTATCTATTTCAGATATTAGCATCATGTCTGCTCGCCCTGGCCGGCCATTCGCTCGCCGGCTATTCCCAGCAATACCAGTCCCAGGACGGGCACGGTTCGTACGCCTACGGTTACGCTGATCCCAACTCGCAGAAGACGGAGCACAGGTCGCACGACGGCACGACACACGGGGAGTACTCGTACGTCGACGGGGATGGAAAATTGCAAGCGGTCAAATATGTTGCAGATCATGCAGGTACAAATTGGAAGATGAATTTTAAAAACATGTTCAAATTGTATCAGGATAAGAAATAAAAAACGTGCATATACTCTATTCCGATTTTAGTACAAACTAGCAAACCCGACGAACTCCGTTTCGCCACCAGATGGTTTCGTGAGAAAGATGAAGAAATTTTTTGTTTGTTTTATATTTGAAAAAGAAAAATTTGATTTTATTGCACAACAGTAATGAATTTATTTCGATTACAAAAATGAAGTGTTTTTTAGTTGAACTTCTCTAATTGTAAGTAAATAAAAGTGAATCCGCAAATTATCCGTTTCATTGAAGTGCTCTTTGGTAAACCACATATTTTGTTTTTTGGTATGAGGTTAACACAAACAATGCGAATGGTTTTCCAACTCGTTAACAGGCAACGTATAACTGCCCATGTGAAAAACAATGATTTTCTAAATAATCTATTTGAAATTTATCCCGCAAACACTAAGCGATTGGCCTTGCGACTTGTTATTGCGAACGTAAGGCAAACTGGAAATTGCAATCGTTTGAAGTCAAACGGAAGACCAGTCGGAATCATTGGTATGTCACCAAATTGCCAGCAATTTTTGATTGAATGGTGAAATTCAGTGGGTGACATCATTATTCTTTGCGGCAAGAATTGCTAGTTGACTTAACCAAGCATAATTCTGATAATTCTCACTAATGTCATTACTCGAATATTTAATTACGGTGCATGAAGTTCCAGCAATTTGCATTAGGGCACGATGCCATGCACTATATTATATATATATATATATATATATATATATATTATAATCATTATATATTTTATCGTTCATAAAATATACAATGACGATCTTATCGCTCAAAACACTTGAGAAAGTTTACATTAGCAAGAGGTGCCGAATAAATCCATCTGAGGATATATTTCTTACGATTAGAAGAACGCTTTTGAAATATACTCGTATACATTTTCAAACTGGTTTGTAAATTTGAAATTCATATTTTAAGTATAAAACTTTGTATATTTTTGAAAATTTTGAAAAGAAAATGTTTCTAAAAATTTTGAAATTTTGAAATTATAAAAAAATATTATAAGGAAATTGAAGACAAAGAAGACTGAAGAATTATATAAAAATATTTTAATTATAATAGATATTATATTAATGAAGTAGTCAAATGAAAAGTATATAAAATATGAAAACTTTTCATAATCTCTCATACCAGGCACTTCTGTCTGTCTGAGATTGCTTGAATCATATAAGTAAACTTAAGAATCAACAATCTTAGTACGAAGCCCAACAAAATTAGTACCCATTTTTTTAAATTTTATCAAAAACATCTGATAATTTGATGTGCATATGTCTAATGATCATTTTTGACCGCCAAAATATCTTTTTTTTTTGCTTCTTCTGTATCTCAGAAACCGCTAGACCTGCCTTTACAACTTTTCATTTCGTCAATACAAGTAAAATGTTTTTTGAATCATTCAAATCGGATACTCTTAAAAACTGAATTTGTGTTTTCAGCACTTTTTGCGCCGTATCTTCGAAACGGCTGGACCTGTCTCCACCAAAAACTAATCAGCATATCTCCCCATCAGTAGCTATCGAATGTTTTTTGAAGCATTCAAATCGGTTGATTCGTGCGCTCGAAATCGTAGACTAAAATTGTATCCACAAATACACACATACACACAAATACATACTTTTTTTAAGGTATGCCAAACTGTTCAGAAACCTTCAAAACGTGAAGATATGCAAAAATTTCCATTTTAATTTTTTTTGCGATTACTGTCACTTACTCTACGAAAAGTTAATTGTAAGAAGAATTTTAAAGACAATATAAGATTGTATCATTGCCTTAAGCATGATAATAAATTTTAAATAATGAATTTGAGTGAGGACGTCATCTGTAATCAGTAGTTGCCAACGAAACACAACAGTACGTACATATGCTTTGGCATAGAATCTGATTAGAATCGCTTAAACGAGTTCAAAACTGTAAAGTTTGATGATTGCTTATACGCTTATCGTAGGCCTATAATATTTTAGTATGCTAGTTCAGACCATAAAATCTATCATAATACAAAGTTATCTTCAGCAAAAACCTCATCGGGCCGATTATCAACTGATATCTTTCGAATGGTTTTGAAGTTTTCAAGATCGATTGAAGATTTTTTGCGAGAACGTTTGACAAAAAAAATTACATTTATTTGCCTATTCTAAAGAAACTACTGGCCGATAGTCTTGTAAAACTAATAAACACCTCAATTCAAACACCTTAATTCTCAAATTTCATCGGTTTGCTGTTGAAGTTATGCAATCGGTGCAGTTGTTTTTAAGATGACGTCAACGAAAGGTCAAAAATCGACTCCCATACACACATATACTTTTTCCAAATTTTATCCCAATCGATTCAGAAAGACATGAAACGTCGAGAAAATATGAAATTATCAAGTCGACTTTTTTCTGTGAAAGCAAATTCCTTCAAAAAGTTACCCAGACGAAGCTACCAGAAATTGATTCGTAGTAACCTTTACTGATCAGTAATGCATTCAAATGCTTTCTCAGGTGATTGGAATTGCAAACAGCTCGTGTACGACAGCAATTTGCGCTTTTACAGTGCAAATTTATCTGCGGGCGTAATTGACGGCAAAATAATTGGCATTTATATGAAGGCGCGTGAATTACTTAATGAACGATCGATATGAATAGAACACTTGCAATAGTTTGCATATATAATATATCGTCAATAATATAATATTTTACCTACCGGTCTTATAAGAATAATCGTGTTGATCGATAGACCGACACCTCCAGTAATCCGACATCTTGGCGACCGTACTTTTTGGAAATTTTAATATTATTTTCAATATCATATGTTGACATTCACTATGGTCTAGTAATCCGAACATTCCAGTAATCACCTAGTAATACTGTGTGTATATATATATATATATAATATATATATATAAACAAAAAAAAACATGCAAAACTTACCAAATAGTCTATGCCAATGTGCCAATCATCCAGTGCCCAATGGCTGCTCAATAATTTCATTACATATACCACGTGTAGGTATTAATTAAATTTGTGTTGTAACAAACAAAGTTCAATTAAATGTCTTAAATATAAACTATTTAAAACATAGAACACTAAGGGATAACATATTTGTAGTATAAACCAATAACTTAAAATCATAAAACATCACTTCTCACGGCTAACCTCAATTCTAAAGTTCATACTAATTTCTTCATTCCTGACTATAGTAAAAACCACTAGTTTATAATAAGTTAACTACTTGTTTGTATACACTTGAAATAAATGAAATCTATAAAATAAGACCTGAAGGCTATGAGACACATTACGATTTACGACTGATCAAACTAAAAATATTAAATGACCAAAAATAATATGTCAATACTTAAGAAATTTAAACCAAATCATCCATAAACATATCAAATATCGATAATAT